CGTCGACGATATGTGACTCAGCAATCACTCTGGTAACGTCGCCGTACGCCAGGGACGCAGCGAGCATAAATTTCTCCCCGGTTTTCTTGTTTCTTATACTTGTAGAACTAGTATTTTACACTTAATTCAGAACTGCTTTTACGGCAATTTGATTCTACGCGCGATGAGTAAACTTTCTCCCACTTCACTTAACGTTCGATAAACTGCACGATTCGTCTTCAACTGATTTCGCGCCTCTCACTAGGATGTCTCCTATTGGTCGATAACTTGAGAAAGCCCGCGAGAAACAGAAGTGTCGAGTAATATGGAAAATTATGTGACGTGTCTCTTTTTCTCTCTCTTTGTATCTCTCTCTCTCGTTGTTATGATATTAATTAAGTTTTTCACTTTCAAAGAACAAAGAAACGAACGCTAAGATGGACGTGTATAAGCGAAACGTGAAAAGAATTACGTGAAGGTATACGAGTGCAATAAAGAAAAGAGATAAAATATTACGATGGAATTTCAAATTTCTGGAAGATCTCCCTTGATAGGTTAGTTATCTTATATTAGATTTTTTTTTTTAAATGAATAATTAAATAAATAACATACGATTTTAAATAATTTTATATATCTTTGAATCGAGAGATTTTTTTTATATTCATATGAGATATGATGATTATTGAAAAAATTTTTTGTCAACGTTTTTAAAGGTTAAATGATATCACCATACGAGACTATGACAGTAATAATGTATGTTTAATATTTTTATATATATATATATATATATGTATATATATATATGTGTGTGTGTTGTCTGTAATTTTATGAATCACTTTACGTATGTCCGTACTTGTCGCGAGGAAAGATCGAAATATAATACGTGATCCACTCTCTTGACGATCGATAACTTAGTGCGTGACTTATACGGATAAATATTAAATAGTATCGTCCGATATACTGGAATCAAAACAAATTGCGACGGTACTTATATAATAGCGTAACTTTTCATTTCATTTTCATTAATATTTTTTTTTTATCCTTCCATTACTTTTTGTTACCAAGAAAAGTTCATTATTGCACAATCAATCGTGACTTCCGATATCTGATTAAAATACACGACGACGCTTTTGTTTTTAAACGATAATGACGATAACATAGCCGTACTCCAATCTAAAATCTTCCCATTGATTGACCTTCATTACCAAACGTATTATTCTTACATTTTTGACATTTATTATGTTTTTACTTTTTGAAGGTTATCAAATAATCCGACAAAGAGAGAGAGAGAGAGAGAGAGAGAGAGAGAGAGAGAGAGAGAGAGAGAGAGAGAGAGAGAGAGAGAGAGAGAGAGACAACGAATCATCTTTAAATTACTACACGTACTACACGAAATTAAATATACAAATCGCATTCGTTTTATTACGTATGTATAACTTTAATTTCTTTAAGTCTACTTTTATAACAATATATAAATATATTCGTAGTGTAGATGACCGATAGTATGAATAAATTCGTGATTGTGTCCAGGAACACGTGATCATAAATAAATAGTAATATTATTTAATTGCATCTTTAATAACTACGTTTATCGATAAAGCTCGCTTCGTCTCTTTGACCTTTGTCTTTCTTTGTTTTTCTCTTTTCCTTTATTTGCTTCACAAAGAACTATATATACATATATGTATGAATATTTATTATCTTTATTAAATTTTTCTATATATATATATATACATATATATATATCTTTTTTTTTTTTTTTTTTTTTTTTTTAATAACGATACTTATTCGAACGTAAAAAAAGTGTTGATACTGTGGAGATTAAAAATCGTTATAGATAGTAAATTTATGGATGAATGACGATCGAAGTAAACTTTTTGAATATTTCGTCATAAAAAAAAAAAGTAAATCAACTTATACAAATTATATAACTAGTGCTTTTTTTTTTGGAAGAAATTGCTTCGATCTGTTTCGATCGATCGATAGAACACATATCGTCGTAAAGTAAATATTTTCGATGTTCGCGATGTTCACGAAAAAAATAAAAATAAAAAAATAAAAATAAAAAAAAAAGCAAATAAAAAAAAATAGGAGGAAAAACTAACAAAAAAAACCGTCTATTACATTTTTTTTCCGTTCGTTAATGGAGGTTACAAATGAACAAAGGAAATATTAGAAACAATATGAAACGTGGAATATAACCAAAGTGGTATCTTATTAACATATATAAATAGATGCAAATGAAAAACTAGGAATAAGTACAATTTCGAATGTTAACGCGTCGCGATGTATGCCTGATACATATATAGACTGACGAATGTAATCATCGATGTTGCAGTATAATCGAACTTTGGCATATCAATATCACGTGGTAACGAGTCGCGTTGGAAGCGTTGTCGTCGTCAATCCTTGATCGTAGGCGCTAGATCGCGCAAGTGAGCTTGGCGTTTGTTCTTTTTATTTTTTTTTTTTCTTTTTTTTTCTTTTTTCTTCATTTTTCTTCTTTTTTCGCGCACGAAACAAACTCGAATAAATTATATTTATGCGTGAACATCTACCTTGTATGCATCGAGCCATATATACACACACAGACACACACACATATACATACATACATACACACACATGTATATATGACTGACAATTTCTTACCTCGTAGTTGTTTTTCATTATTTTTATTTGGGAAGTGACGTCATTACACGACAAGAGAACCCTGATATGCGATAGATCCTCGATTTGAAGCATTACCGGAACCATCCTCTCTTCTTTTTCCTTTTCACTTTTCGTCAATGAAGTATAAAGACAACGATATATTTGAAAGGTCTGAATGATTGAGAGAAATAGAGAAAAAGAGAGAGAGAGAAATAGAGAGAGAGAGAGAGAGAAAGAGAGAGAAAGAGAGAGAAAGAGAGCTAGTAAAACGAGTGGGAGCGGCGGTGGCGGCGGTGACGGCGGCAAAAGATATAAAATAAAAAGAATAATATAAATGGTAGAATAACACAATCCAGTGATATATATCGTGAACTAACGAACTGTAAGATCATTTAATCATTCATAAATTTTTTCTTACGCGTATTTTCTCCGTCAACTTTTAAAAAATACAACGAGAAGGTTACTGCTTTAAGGCGGACTCTGATATTGCGTCGATCGGACTGTCGTTCGTCTTTATGCCGTTCGTCTTTATGCCGCTAAGATGATTAGAATATTGATAATGCTACGTCATTGGGTCACGTAATAGCGCGGGTAATATGAAAGTGAATTAAAAAACTCGACTCCGATACTCTTTTTCTCTCTTTCTTCATTGATTCTTGGTGAATAGAAATCGATAATGATATTTACATTAAACATATAATATATTCATTTTGTATGCTTGTACATATCTCGTAGTTTCATATTTTTTTTTTCGCCTTTTTTTTATACAACAAAATATCTATGACAACAGTACAGTTGAGAACGGTATACAATATATCGTTATATCGATAATTCATTCATAAATATGAGACGAAAGACAGCCTCGTTCTCTTATAGACGTTTTAACGATATCGTGTCGTGATTGCATAAAATACATAAAGTATTATGTACTCTTGATTACTCTGGTTGTCCAGTCTTTCGTTAGAAAGTCGCTTCGGCTTAAGAAAATCGCTCGCGCGTTTTACGCGTAAATCAACGATGAATAAATTACATTGTAATATATATATATATATATATATATATATATATATGTACATACATACGTACATACATACATACATACATACATATATATATATATACATACATACATACATACATACATACATACATACATACATACATACATATATATATATATATATACATACATACATACATACATACATACATACATACATACATAAATACATACATACATACATACATACATACATACATACATACATACATACATACATACATACATACATACATACATACATACATACTTACATACATACATACATACATACATACTTACATACATACATACATACTTACATATATACTTACATACATACTTACATACATACATACATACATACATATATACTTACTTACATACTTACATACATACATACATACATACATACATACATACATACATACATACATACATACATACATACATACATACATACATACATACATACATACATACATACATACATACATACATACATACATACATACATACATACATACATACATACATACATACGTACGTACATACATACATACATACGTACATACATATCATATTCCAAGAGGAAGATAACGTTGAAATGAAAATATATTTCTGTCCTGATGTACTGAAAGAAAGAAAATCGTCACGGTCGATAATCGCTGATATATGTATGAATAAAACGTATAATAACGTGTGTCATTGACAACGATTATCCTTTTTATTTATCCTGGACTTATACAGTCCGATAATTTTCTTAAAAAGGAACATGGTCTGTGCGATTTCGATCCTTTCAATGAAAGCAATGAGAAATATTGCACGCGCTTCTTATACGAATACTTTCGGATATTACATGACTGTTGTTGTTATTGTTGTTGTTGTTGTTGTTGTTGTTGTTGTTGTTGTTGTTGTTGTTGTTTCTGTTTGTTGTTGTTGTGTTGTGTTTAAACATAGGCCAATCACGCTCCCGTAAGATCATCGGAGCT